GTGTTCTCTCTCATCTGGGCCTTTTATAGTGCATCTCTGTCTGAAAACCTCAATTCCTAATTATACTTCTGATATCAGCTTTATTATTCCTTTCTGTAGGAAACTTCTATTCTTTGACATGAAGGAAGGTATGGTGCTTTAAGTGTCTTGATCTTCTCTAACATAACATGTTCATTTCATTATATATTTTTGTTTAATACTCTACCTTGTCTGCTAACCTATGAGCTCAGAGGTGTCAGAGACCATATCCTGTTGTTCGTAAATGTATCACAGGGCTTGGTACATAGTAGGGGCAAATTAATTAATTAACTAATTAATTAATTAAAAGAAAGACTTGAGTAGGGGCAAGTATTGCCCCTTAAGCAGTTAAAGTATCTTGTAGGTATAAGTAAAGTATTTAAGTAGGTACAACTATCTTTTGCCTTCCTAAGTTATTAAAAACATGTGTGTAGCATTTTCATCTTTACTAGCTTTTGCTTTTCTTATTGGCTTTAAAAACAAAAATTAAAAATTCCTGAACTATTTGGGAGGTGTCTGCAGCCTTGGTTTATCTCTAGGTAAAACTGTGAAATGGAGAAAAGATTAATTCAGTGGTCCTAATTGTCAGGTGGAGATTAAGATTTCTCTCCCTTCTGCACAATGCTCTCAACTGGAAATCTTGGTAACCTTAGTTACCCCTAGATTCTGAAATTTTTCCTATTGATCTTTTAAAAAAATTCTCGTTGAAAAATCACCTCAGCTTATCCTTTCCTTTTCTCCTCCTCCAGAACACACCCTGTGTATGCTTTATCATGGAGCCACTGGACCACAGACATATAAGAGACCTCAGACAATTTCTGGTCTAGCTTACCATTCTATACTTTACCTGTTCTTTTTCATTTTCGTGTCAAGGGTTATCCAACACCAGTGGCATGGAACTCCCTACCTCCAGAGACAGCCCATACAGATGATGCTAATTGGTCAGAAGACTCTGTTGAAAGGGCGTCCATCCTTGAAAGGAAGGAGATGTTTGGCCTAATGGCTGTTGTAAAGTTTGAGGGAATTTACCCATCTTTCTCTGAGACCAGGTTCGCTAGGAGATAAGGAAAAATAACACTTAAGGCATTGGGTTCCCTGGGAAAAGAGGCTAAAAGAAGAAATATATTATATATTATTTAATTTAATATATTATTTACTTTAATGTAATATGTATTATATGTATATAAGAATATAATATATATATACACATATACTTCCCATATTCTATTCCCTATAGAAATAGGAAAAAAGGTATAGAAATGGAGATCTGGTACTTTCAGGAAAGTGGAGTTACTCCTAAGTTTACCAAGTTCATGTCTTAGACTTGGGAATGTTTGAAAAGAGAGAGAGGATGCTTGAAAGACAGAGCACCCAGAGAGACAAACAATGATAGATTGTGGTGGCGGTGTATTTAGAAGTGTGGGGGAGCAGGAGGGAATGAAGGTTGCAAAGTTGTATTATTACTATTTGCACATACTTTATCATATGTGACGATTAGTTTCTAAGATGAACAAAAAGATTTGTGCAACTAATACTTCAGCATGTGTATTCATAAGTAGAATAAAATACTTCATGTGAACAGTGTTGCCAGATGTATTCAGCAAAAGTTCATGTTGTTTTTCCTAAGCAATTCTTAAGAATTTGTCTTTTTTTGGATAATAAACTAAGCATTGTGAATGATGAAGAAACCAAGGGAACTCAGAATATCTCCAAAAGCAGACTGTTCCTATGAGGAATGAAAATTATTAAAAATAATAAATAGTAAACATTGTCATCAACAAACATTATATCCATAATGCCATGAATTTACTTTGCTGATCACCTAAGTCCGGTGACTTAAAATTTTTTTAAATAAAGCTGACCTTTGTTTTTATTTTTGCCTTTTAAATGAAATAGCATGCCAAAGCTAAATAGAAAACAGTTGAAAGCAGAACGTTTTGATTGAATTTGGGGTGGGACACTCAAAGTTCTGTCTCCTTGTTTCCTCCTCCCTTCCTCTGTAGGAACTGAGGGCTCTCTCTTTGGAATTTAGTTTGAAAACTACTCATCTAGTATAGCCCATCACCATACAGATACAGTTAATGTAATGCCAGGCTTATCTTACTGTGTCAGATGCCGTTTTCAAATAGCACAGGCAAGAAAAGATCCAATTTCACAGGAACAGAACTAAGAAGTAGCACATTCTGTAAGCATGTATTTAATTATAGACACGGTGATATAGGCACCTATACGAAAAGATGCTCAGAGTAGGTTGTTATGTGCTACAGAGTAATGGACATACTGTGTGCACATATCCACAAATGTCACCTTGGCACCTGGGGTCACCTTTACTGTTATGGAAAGTTCCTAGTGCCCCTCAAGATTTTTACTAATTCCAGGGCTTTTGTTTTCACGGTCATCTCTGACTCCAAGCTTCTGCTGCAGTGGGATTATTTGGGTTTATGAACTGTTGCACTTGCACCTGATACTTTCCCTCCATCCTACCATGTCACATCAGATATGGGACTCAATCCTCAGGCACATAATCCACTTCATTTGAAATGTCTTTATTGATTCTACTATTACAACTCCTGAAATAATAGATAATTTTATTCTGCTACATGCATCATTTTTATAGTTTGAGCTTTATGATTTGAATGTTTAATATTTATTCTTTACTATGTAAGCATTTACAAGATTAGGGGAAGAAGGAGCATCTTTGACAGGGCTGATAAAAAGACAAGTGTACTGATGTCATTTTGAAATTGCAAGTGGCTACTCCCAGTTCTGCAAAACTCCCAGTGACTTAGCAAGACAAGCTTTGCACAGCCTTCTCTAAGGAGAAAGAGATGATTGAAACTGTTGTGGAGTAGAAGGGGGCATACCTAAAAGTAGAGACATAAAAGGGGGGACTGTGAAGGATGGAGACACCAGCACTGTAAGTTGCTGCGTGAAGTGTGAGAATGTAGTGGGAGAGGGCAGACGATGGGAGGGTGGTGAGAGAAAAGGGGAAGTCATAAGGAAATGGAAAGATTTTTATCTTTGACTTCTTGGGTTCTGTTTTCGGGATGGCTAGATGCCTTTTATTTTTAGACTTGCCAAAATTAGAGATGTGTATTAGTTATTTTGCTGCTGTAACAAATCATCACAAGTGTGGTTGACAACATAGATTTATTATTTTACAGTTCTGTAGGTTGTAGTTCTGTCTGACTAGCTATAATCAAAGTGTCAGCAGAACTGTATTCCTTCTGGAGACTCTAGGAGAGAATCCATTTCCTTGTCTTTTCCAGCTTCTAGAGGCACCCGCATTCAGTGGCTCGTGGACCGTGAGTCACCCTCCATCTTCAAAGCCAGCAACACTACCTCTCTCTCTGACCATTCTTCCACAGTCACATCTCCCTCTGGCAAGGCCTCCTTCTTTAAGAACTCTTGTGATTGAAGTGGGCCACCCAAATAAGCCACTGCCACCTTTCGAGGGCCCTAACTTAATCACACCTGCAAAATCCCCTTTGCTGTATAAAATAACATTCTCACAGGTTATTTTGCCTATTACAGGGTAATCCCTTCTTGGGCCTACTCTAGTTCTTTTGATCAAAATGAAATGAGGGCACATACTAGCCAAAAGAATCCTGTTCTTTCTCTATTTCCTATAAAATTCATTGTTAAGCAATATCTATGTTTCTTCTGTGTTGTCTAAAGATGGGAGTCTCTAAATATTTGAGTGATCCAGGGACCCAGACTGACCGAATTTCTTGGTGTTTAGAGAGTAGATTACAAAGCAGGAGTAGTTACGCTTGGTAAGCAGCCTTCTGTCAGCATAACCAGGTTATTCCAATAGGAGGATGAATATTTTGATCATTCTTATTTTTCCCTCAGGGAAGACGTAGTGGCCTGCAGTCTATCCGATTCTAACGCTCTTGTCTCATTTTACACTGTTTTTTCTTTTCTTAAACTTAAAATAAAGCAGGCATGATTAGTAAAGAAATGGGACTTCTCATTGTGAAAGTGCAAAAACTGCAAATTGTAAGACCTAAAACTTGAGTGCTGCTTTGATATCTTTGAGCTTCACAGGACCCTAAAGGCCCAGGCATGTGTCCCCCTGCTCTTGCCAGATATACCCCCAACCTAGCAAGAAAGGGTCTCCACCTGGCTAGTTCTGGTAACAACCAGACCTGCTGTGCTGTACCTTGCCTCATCTTCAACCTAATGGGATTCACATTCCTGACAGCCCATAAAATTACTCAAACAAGTGAATCACATCCGCCCCCAGGAACCAAAGTTTATTCATCCTCTTGTCACTACAAAGCCTGCTTCCTGCAGCCCCTGCTGGTTCACTCTGCTCTCAAGATGCATCCTGGTGTGGCCCTGTATGGCTTGCAGTCTACTCGCTCCCCTGGGCTGTGAGGACATGTCACTAATCAGCTGCTGCTGCCAACCTCATCTGTCCACTGTCGGGTGTCATGTGCTCAACCACTTTGTACTGTTTGGGGTGGTGAATTCGTCCTTCACCAACTGGATGACTGGGGAGTGATCAGAACATGTTTGCTTTCCTTGTAAAGCATTCAATCCGTGCTCTGGAAAGAGACACATGAATGTTCCTGGTCTCTAACTAAGAACCGCAGGTCCCGTCTCCCTGGTGGGAAAGAGAAAGAAGTCAGTATGCATAATGAGATTGGAGTCTCTCAGGATTTTTCTAGGGGGTTTCAGTAACACTGTTGAAATGCGACTGAGGACAGAACATAAGGAAATTGGTTTCACATTCAGCTCACTAGCTTCTTTGAGTATACCATGACCACCATTCAGACACTAATAGACACTGGAATGTGTTGGGGAGGCATTAATTCTCGACAAAACAAACCTCCATTCTATCTCACTTTCCCAGCAGAGATTTTTGTCTTGAGTTTTGTAGAAAGTGTGTTTGTGTAATAGCAAGATCTGAACTAAGAAGAGATCAATGTCTAGAACATAAAAGAAACTCCTACAAATCAATAAGAAAGAGACAAGTACTCGCTTTGGCAGCACGTATACTGACGTTGGAATGATAGAAGATAAGCATGGCCCTTGTGCAAGGATGACATGCAAATTTGTGCAGCATTCCATATTTTGGGGGGGGATTAGCAGATACAAACTACTATATATAAAATAAACAACAAGGTCCTACTGTATAGCACAGGGAACTATATTCAATATCTTGTAATAACCTATAATGAAAAAGAATGTGAAAAAATACATGTATGTACAACTGAATCACTATGGTGTACACCATAAACTTAACAAAACATTGTAAATCAAATATTCTTCAATACAAAAATAAGAAAAAGACAAGAAATTCAATAGAAAAAATAGGCAAATATATATCTGGGCAATTGGAAAATCCTGATGGCTAATAAAGATTTGAAGAGATGCTAAATTTCACCAATGATCAAGGAAATGCAAATTAAAATAACAGTGCTACTTTACACTCATCTTTTGGCGAAATTAGAAAGTCAGATATCAAGTGCTGGTGGGGACGTGGGGAAACTGAGTTTCTCATGCACTCCTGGGGACGGTGTAAACTTGCGTAGCTGTTCCAGAGCACAAACATAATTAGTAGAGAAACTAAGCATGTCTGTACTCTGTGCTTAGCACTTCTGCTCGTAGGAATATGTCGCAGAGAAGTCCTCAAGGAGGTGTTTATGAGGGTGTTCAGCCAAGTGGTATTTGTGGCAGCAAAGAACTGGAAGCAAACTAAATGACCATTGACTTCCAAGACAATAGATAAATAAAATTTGATGAGAAGATCAGATTCTCCCCATCAGTCAAAAATAATAATTTACATTTCTGTTTAGCAACATTAATAGATCTCAAACACATAATATTGAATAAAAGTAACTCAAAAACAGGGTGACACGTTTAGATAGTCCCTTTTATGTCAATTGAAGCCCAAAGACAAAACATGCTATATATTTAAAAAACACACATATCTCTAAGTAAATGTGTGAAAAGTGGATTGAAATGAGGGTTTGTTATTGGAGCAGGAGAGGGAATTGGGATTGTGGATACGGCATGAAGATGAAAAAACAGTGAAGAAAGATACAGCAAATGAGGGGCCGTCTCCTAACTGAAAAGATAGTGCATCACAAAATGGGGGTTGTGATTAACTCAAGTCTGCACCTGACTCCAGAGAAATAAGGAAGAGCCAGAATGTGGGGCCAGATTATAGATATCTGACTTTTGGGGAGGGGGTTTTCAACCACTCAGCCGATTCTCTTGTAGCCACTTTGGACTCCTCCTAATGAGGACAAATAGACATGAAGACACCCTAGTTTAGCAGAAGGGACCTTGGAGTGGAGGACAAGAGACATACCTTTCTTCCAGTTCAGTCACAAGCTGGTTAAATGATCTTTGGCAGGCCACAGAGGTTTCCTTTAGATGAGGAATAATAGGACCTGCTCTGCATACCCTGCAGGGTCCTTGTGAGGGTGAAATTAGGAGAAAATGTGACAGAAGACGTTGTAGCTTTTGATAAATAGCAGATGATGTGTCTGTTGCAGTACTGGGAGTAGACAGATGATTCTAGTTGAGAGGAGAGTAGAACTAAGTTTCATGTGCCCTGGGTCTTGCCTGGGTCTTTGTCACCCTGAAAGAGTGAGAGGACAAAAACCAGATCTAAGGGAGTTTGTCTTAACCTCCCTCCCACCTGGCCCTCTCCCCCTTCCCCCCCTTCTCTCCTTTCCCTCCTTTCCCTTCCTTCCTTCTGGAAAAGATGGATTTTGCCAATAAATCATGAGTCTCAAAGCCGCAAGGGCTGAGGCACATACTCACACACACACACGCCTTATATAAATTATCCTTTGAAATTCCTTTCAACAGAAGGTGCTTCTATAGGTTTTCTCTACAGCCCATTCTGGAAAAGTTTTCTTCAGTTCTAACCAGAAGCCCCTGAAGGCTTTTTCTAAATTGCTGGTTTCATTAAAGATGGAGTACAGATATTTTTTCTTAAGATATTTTGACATTTTATCCTCACAGCCCATTCCACAGAAATCAATTAAATGCACCTTTGTTTTTTTGATGAGGTAGAAGGACATGGACTTCGCATGATTTTAAATCCTAGCTCTACTGCTTAGTGTCCGTGTTTCTGTCTCAGGGTTGTTATACTTGCTGTTTCTTCTCTCTGAGTCTCTGCCTGGATCTGTCCTTCATATCATGCGTGTCTCTGTTCACTCTTTAGCTTTTTACCCTGTTTAGGTTTCTTCCTAGTTCTTCTAATACTTGATACATTATTTGTTTTGTTGGTTTTTTATTTGAGTGCTCGTTTATTGTCTCTTCTTCCACTAGATAAAGCTGCCATGGAGCACACACTCACTGAATCTTTATTAAGTGGATGAATAGGTGAGAGAATTAGTGACTTTGAGCAACTTAGCAACTTTCTATGAGCCTCATTTTCTTTTTTATGTTAATCAAGGGTAATTAAATCTTCCTCAAAGGATTGCTGTAAAGATTAAATGACATACCAGAAGACATCTAGCAGTCGCATCAAATGCATTCAGGACTATTTTTTTCCCCTGGTGATGGATGATTCCTTTATAATGTTTATCTAATGAATACTTGAGGATCTATATCATTGAGAGATTATTAAGTTAGTACCTGATGATAACAGTGGCTCAAAACCCCAAAATATTAGTGCTTTCAATGGGTTATCCGGCAACGTGGAGAAAAAAACCCTCAAAATTAACAAGAATATTTTGTAAGACATGGGAGAAAACTTCATGGTCTTTGATTTTTGGATTTCCTCCTGTTATGATTAAGACGAGATTGGTACAGTGAGGTTAGGTCACTTGCCAGGTAATTAGTAGCAGAGTTGGGGCTGGAACATACATGCTTGAGATTTGGTTTGTGCTCTTGCCTCCTACACGTCAGTTGCCTCCAAACACGAATTCGTTCAAACTAGTTTCACAATTTAGAGTCTCTACAGATGGAAAATGTTAATCATTATGGTTTCAGGTTCTTGGCTGATTCCAGATTTCTAACTTTTAGTTATAAACATGTCTTAATCTTTGTCATAATAATAGCACCTTAATAAAAATAAAGATTTGGAAACATATTTTTTTCTCTTACTAAATTAGGTGACCTCTTTAAAATGTTCTTTGTAGGCCTAAAATTGTATTGTGGAAAACAGTTAATAAAGAAGACATATAAAAATGAGGAAAACACATGCAAGATAAAAATGACAGAACATAATGCTGGAAACACTTTAAAATCAAACTTAGTATCCGGTCAGAGACTTATAGTCTGAAAGTGCCAACACCAGTCAGTAAATGTTGTGAAAAAATGAGGTAAAGCTATGAATAGGATCTGAAACTGTGGTAGAAAATAAATGCAATAATTTAAAAAAAGTGTGACTTAAAATCTCATTTTCAAGTTTTTTAGACATGGATAATTTTCTGTGAAATTTGATTTGTTCTATAATAGAAGTTTTACAAGTTTAAAATAATTAGACATGCTTTATGCTAAATCAATTTTATAGAAAGGTTAAAAATAAAATGTGTATTAGACAATCACATTTTCCATGCAGCTTATTCTGGTGGAATCATAATAGATACCTTTTTTAAACCGAGTTCATAAGAATGAGCTACATTTTTTTCCTACTGGACTTCTAATGACTTTGCTGATGCAGGTTACATTTTGATGTTCCTTAAGAACAAATTTAGTCATTGATTTCCCTCTCACACCCCTTTAGTTTTTCCCTTCTCTCTCATACCTGTCTCCTCTCTCCTTTCCTCTCTTCCCCCTTCTTCTTCCTCTTTCTTCACGTCTCCTTCTTCCCCCATGCTACTTTTCTTTCCCATTTCCATAATTATCTCATTGCCTTTGCCTGTTCCACTTTCTTTTCTTTTATTGGCCCAAGTGAACTTGAAGAAATTATAAGTAAGCAAGGGTCTCAATCTCTTGAGAAACTACATAGGTAAGCCTTTTAACTTAAAATATTCTATAATTTTTATTAGAGATCAGAGTGATCTTAGATACAAATTGTAATATATTGCATTAATGGCCCTAATTCTTCCCTGTAACTACCCTCTTTGCCATATGACTGTGAAGCTCTACTTCCTGAAAAGGTGGAGATACATTTCCTCTCCCTTTGATTTTGTTTTGGCCATGTGACTTGCTTTGGCCAATAGAATGAGGCTGAGGTGATGATGGTAGGCCACTTCCAAGCCTGCAACCTAAGAGGCCTTATGTGTTTCTGTTTTGCCTCCTTGCATCTCAGTTATTGCCAGGAGAAGATAATGCCCAGATTCTTCTTTTGGTCTCAGAAAAAGTATAAAAATGGAACCACCCAACCAAGTCAAGCCTCAGTCAGCTGGCCTGCAGCTGACACACAAAGGCCTGAGCCAAATACGTGCTTATTGTTATGGGCCTACTGATATTTGGTGATTGTTTGTTACACAGCATTATTGTAGCAGTAGGAAGTTGATATGCTGCCCAACTTAATGTCTTCCGTTTTGAACATACAGAGACTGAAGCCTGGAGAAGTCTAGGGTGACAAATTAGTTAATGACAGATCTGGAGCAAGGACTCAGAACTCCAGGTATCTTGTCCAATGAATTGTGACTTGCTTTGAAGTGAATTTGCAAGCTCCCAAAGTTCTTAATGTACTACCTTTTAACTTAACTTGTATTAGCACCTCCTTATTATTTCTTTCTTTAACTAATTTGAATCTATCATTTCAGCAGTCTGTTGGGTTAACTAGATTTATTCGATTTATGATGAAAGGCAGGAAACAGCGGTATCATATTGTTAAGGCTTGTCAATCTTGCTGTGGTGTGTGTGTGTGTGTGTGTGTGTGGTGGAGAGCCAAGAAAACTTGTCATCATAGCTGTTATTTGTTGAGTAATTACTATAATTAAATTATACTCCAGGTATTATGGAAAGTACTTTGTATAAGTTACCTTATTTGGCCTGTACCATGCATTAACATACTATGGCCTACAGCAGGAGCCAATGCCTGTCTGCTGCCTGTTTTTATAAATAAAGTTTTATGGGAACACAGTCATGTTCATTTATTTATGTATTGCCTATGGCTACTTTTGCACTACAGTGGCAGAGTTGTGTAGTTGTGGCAGACC